ATGTGCGTCGTGAATCGTATTCTATTTTTCGCCAGCTGTAGGAGCTCGTGAGCGAGGACGCAGATGCAAGCCGATGGATGAGGATCCAGCGTCTTGCAATGGGGCTGAATGGAAGGTCATGCAAAGGGCCGACGAGGGGGTTATTAGAGCCAAAGGACGGGCCTAGCTAAGCCTGGGACAGGTCATGTCAGCTCCCAACGCATGAAAACACACATTCGCAGAGTGTAGGATGATGGCAACAAGGAAAGGAGGTAATGGGATGTGCTGAACGCGGGCCCGGGAGTGTGGCGATGTGTTGAAGGAGAGGGCCTGATGCCATGCCTTTGAAGTCAAGGGTGGATGCACGAGTGGCCTGGCCTGCAGCACCTGTGGGCCGGTTATTAGCATGGACGCAGCCGGCGTTGGCACAGGCTTTGAGAGGGGGGTGGCAGGACGCGCTAAGATACGGCCCACAGGCAGAATACAGAATACACTTTAGGCGTAAATACCTTTATCTTTATTTGATGCGCGCGCTGCGTTGCTCAAAATGGCATAGAATGGCCCAAGCAGAAGCGCCAAGACGGGTTTCAAGGACATCAAGAGCGCCACAGAATCAACAAAGACAGCAGAGGCAGTAGAAGCGAGGGCAAAATCGAAAGAAAGGGAAAAGGGCAAAGGGAAAAGGGAAAGGAGAAACACAAGAGCCCAAAATTCAGCAATCAACAGAATGGAGCAATGTTTGACGATGAAGAGTGGAACATTATGCAGGCTTCGGTGGTAACTGAACAAGGGCAACACACTCACTTGGACAACATGCAGCAAGTATTAGCCAGGGTCAAGTATGTCAAGTATCGCGGAGGCGAATCCCTTCCTTCAAAGATGCTACAAAGGGGGTAAGCAGACGCATATCAAATGCCTAGTCCCTTGTGCTTGTGCTCACTTCCTAGCCAACAGAGCAACACCAGCCCTGGGGAAACACAGTTCATGGAAAGGGCTTGGGACTGACGGACCGGACCTCGGTATGGAGGGATAGAGTAGCAGTTGGGTAGGACTACTCGGTACTACTGCACAATACAATATTAGTGGTAGCTTCCAAGGAGGCGGGATCAAGTGGGCCGAACACGGAGTAGATTGGCGAGATTTGCACCCAAGGGATGGTCGATTTTCGGTGCAGCCGCGGCTTCTGGGCAATTGACCAGCCCAAGTCCTTAATCAATGAATGGCCTTGGCTGTGGATGCCGTACTCGAATGTTGGAATTGCGAGAGCGACTGGGAGGGGCCTTGCCCAGTTGTCGAGGGCCAACTGGTCAACCACAGGGTGTCGACAACCAGCCACAGTTTGTAATAGGGGTTGGAAGTTTGTCGAGGACTCGCCTCCTGGACCTGGGCTCTGACTTTCAAAAGGATCAGTTGATTTATGAGTACCGAGTGCCTTGGAGTGTGAGCAAGGCGGTCTGGCCAGCGGTGGGAACCTGCACCAGCACCAAGGACTGCATGAGTAATGGCCAGGACGCAGCTTCGAGTCTTTTTCCGGCACAGGGCACTGCCAACTTTTATGAGTAGATGAGCATAACCATAGAGTCACCGAGTTGGGAACTGCTGGCTGCTGGACGCTGGACGTGGCCATGGTGTGTTATTGTACGGAGTGTGGAAAATGGGGTTGGGGCATTTAGGTGGTGCTGAGCTCCAACATCCAGGCCTACACGAATCGGGAGAACGGGTTTGTTGCAAGAGATGCTCCTGCCAGGGGCAATATATCCGCAAAATCAGGCCATCCATGATTGCCACGACGATCCGGCAGTATTAGTGAAGCCGCCACGACATCGAGATTTGGTTGTGGTAAAGTTTGGTTGTAACTCGGCAGCGAACACGGCTATGGCGAATGTCTTGACTGCTACGGAGTACTATTTTAGTCTAAGCACATTGGGGGGGGGGGGGGGGGGGT